ATTAATACAAAAATAAAGTAGCTGAGTTTTCACAACACGGCCGAAAATGGCACAGACGACCATCTTAAAGCGATTCACCCCGGTAATGCGGCGAACATTAACGACTGGTTGCTTCTCCTTCGGGCAGATGGGCGTCGGATAGCTACACGCAAGCCGGCTTTTTGCGCGGCCGCTGACGCAGCCAGCGAAGGCACGACCCACCTGGCCGCGTTTGGTCACTTAGTCAGCGCAGGCTCAGCACAGGATCCGCAGCCGGGATATGAGGCGTGCCTGCAGCCCTCGGGCCCGACTCAGCCATGTCGACGATGCGAACGTGGAGGTGCAATGCGCTGCTGTGGCCTTAATAGCATCGCCAGGATGTTTTATGAGTCCGAAACTGTCCCGCTGAATGAATGATTTTCAGCATACCAGGAGGTAGTGGTTACACGGCATCATTGTATTCAACAACGATTACATTGGCAACATGCAAACTTTCGGGCTGCGCGCATCCTCAGGAGGAAGAGCTCTCTTGGGGGCTTTCAAGGATGATCGCTCTCGAGGGTGAGCGCGGCTCAAAATATCGGGTACCGCCAATACAATGGCCGTTCAACACTGTAGCGTTATTCAACCACTATCTCCTGGTATATTAAGGTCGTTAACTCAGCAAAAGAACTTTGAGTTCATAATACCAAAAAGCCGGGAGCTGACGGTCTTTCTTTCGCATACCGTCAGTTTGTACCTGCTCGTAAATCGTGATCGACGCGCGTATCGCCGCCAGGGAGCATGTAACGCATTCGGTATGAACGCGAAGGACAGGGCGGAGGGCCAGGGACACGTTTTCAAGCACTGGGGAGATTGGACGACATGGCCAAATGATACTACATTCTCACCGCTCGCACGGCTTCTCCGGATGCACCTAGAACATGCACTGTGGCGACAGCGCGCCGCACCATTGTTAAGCCGTTCAGCTGATTCCTGAATGTCACAGGGCTGGTACACAGCCTCATACTTAAATAGAGTGGTGTTTTAAAGCAACTTTACGAAGGCGCAATCCGTAAACAGACGCATCCAAGACAGCGAGCATTTCCGGTTTCAGCTCTCAAACCACCGCGTCTGTCCTGAAGACAGGTCCGCCTGCATGAACGCCGGAAGTCTCGTGGTAGATACGCATCGTTAACAAGTGACGCTGTCAGGCTTTGGGCGCGCCGCGCCGGAGCCTGAGCCGTCCTGTCTCGGTCTCGCGCCGTCGCTGAGTCGCGCGCGTCCGAACGGTCGGCGCTGAGCTCCCGCACCGTCACGCGACGCGCCCAGCGCCCGCCTCTCCAACCGCCTTTTGTTCATACTGCGACGAGCGCGGAAGGCGTGCTTTGTCAGCGGCTGGGCCCGTCACATCCGCTGCCCACGACCGTGGTCTGCCGGCCCGGCGTCCGGCGCCCGGCCCGGCGCGGCGCGGCCACCGCAGCACGACAGCGCGCCGGCGGATCGCCGCGCCGACCTGCCTCAACGGCAGGCCGGTTGAGGCCCCGACGGCAAGCGTATCTCAAATGGTCGAATCGAATATTTAAACGTCGGCGAAAACGGTCAGCCTGGGAAAACCGCACCGAGACATTTTCAGCCAAATCTCCAGCATATTGGCAGTCACCGCGGCGACTTTCACCCGGGTTTCGAAATCGTAAGCGCGATATTTAGAACTGCGAGCGTGATCACAGCTGTTGTAGAACGCTATCCATGGGCACCGGTGCTGTCTAGCCCCGGGAAATAATTCAGGAGTTCTGGAATCCTGAGCGTGCGATCAGGGCAATCAAGGGTTGTGCCTAGCCAACGTTGAATTAACAAACGCAAATTGAACATACGCAGTGATAATATGAATTGTGTTCTCGAACAAACGTGAAGGTACACACGCACTTGTGTTCTCGGTGACCCGTACCTTTCTCGGCGCCACCTGGGTTGTCACGGACTTCAGGCAATATCGCCATAGCTGGTCACTGCCTTGCAGTGTTCCGAGCATTTCCCAGAGGGCTGGATGAAGGCAAGGGCGGATCCAAGATTTCGTCAAAGGGGGGGGGGGGGGCGGGACACACAACATTGTGGCCCCCTCCCCCAAAATGCCCGTATTTATCGGCCATTGTATTTTGATCTGATATATGCCATTCTTTGTACGTGAGCCCATCTTACTGCGCACAGCTGTATAACACTTGGGGTGCTACGCATGCAAATACATAGAGCTCGTATTTTTCGCCAGATCATGTGAATTTGATTAATTTAAAACTAGGCATTTCTGAGAAAACATGGCAAAATGCACTCAAGTTGGACGTTAATTGTGATAAAAACCAAACACGAACATGATTCCTAGCTTACTCACGGTCAGTCAGCTAGTCGATGTGGTCAGCTGGTGGTTGATGACCAATGCAGAGCCTTTGCTTTGGGTGTTATAAAGGAGTATATCATATCTTATCATTCAAAATGTATTACCGCGCGCCCGGGTGGCTGGTTGGATACCCTTCGCTCGGGTGGGGGGCAATTTAACTCGCTGAGATCTCAGGAACTAAGCAAACTAGAGACACCAAACTCACGGAGTGTATTGGCATGTACATGAACTCACTTTAAAACGAAGTTTGACATTCTTAGGTCTTCATCTTTGGGCCAAATAAGGTCAAACGAGGTCAAATTCCAGGTTGGTCTTCAAAGCATCCCCAGAACCTAGATACCTGTTCTAAGCAAAAGGGTCATGCACTCATTTAGGATCAGTAGCCTTGTTTGACCTTTTGAATGTTACGGTGACCAAAACTATAAAGACTGTCTTGAGTTATACATTTGAATAAGCAGCAAAGATTACGCAAGGCAGTATGCTCCTAAAATCACAGTTCGACCTGGCTAATTTTAGGACAGTAACCTATTCTGGTCTCTAAAAAGTCCATGGAATGTATATTAAGCGGTTCCTGTTATCATTAAATCGGAAATGGGGATCAGAACCTACCCCACATAGCAAGCCTTAAAGAAAAAAAAACAGGCGGGCTTTCAGCTTGGTCTGACTTTATACCTGACCGCGGATCAATGGAACCTCTTCATTCAACTGCTGTGTTGCCTAAGAAAATATTACAGAGATGTATGGCTTCGTCGAACACTCCGTTGTTGCATCAGGTTGAGCGATTTTGTTATTCAATTGTCTAAAGCTATGCAAAATTTGGCGCGGCTACGCCACGTCGTTCAGAAATTATTCCGAAAGCCTTCGGGAGGGAGATCAATCTGACCCCTCACCCGAGCCCTCACAGTGTTAAGAACGTTATACAAAAGCAAAAAAAGTGTCACAAAATTCAAAAACCAACGGAAATGGCATACGCGATGTTGGCGACACCTAAAATGATGTTCCACAATTGCGCGTAAAAATTTATCGGCGCATATCCGACTGCTGTTCTAAGGTTGAGGCATCAAGGGTAATCGTCATCCTGTGCTCTCGGACTCGTACACGTGAAGTGATTGGCACCCGACCAGGCGAAGCGAAACACACGAGCTGGTGAGACCCCCTGGCAAGCACACTTGAGGCTTTCGGCACCAGAACAGGAACCTTCCGACTTCATTCGAAGAGCTGGCGACCAATACGGAGGGCCCCAAGCGAACAAGAGTGCCCGGTCGATCAGGCGGTAGGTCCGCAGCGGTGGTGGTATAATGGCTAGTGCTCAACTCGGGGCCTGTCGATCTGGGCCTCCAGGGGGCCTGTCGATCTGGGCCTCCAGCTCCGACCGCGCTAGCACCGCATCCCACGTGTCGTCTAGTGAAGACGTCCGTCTTGAAGCGTCTGTGGCGGTCAGCGAGACGTAAAGCCACAATCATCGTTACCAAGATTTAGACCCCGTCACGGGCTAGGCCCTCCTGTGTTTTGGGAACCCAAGACCGATAGCAACGGCACTGAGTTATCGACGGTGCCGTGGTAGGCCAACAAAGAGGCTCCCGTCAGCAGTGTACGGTCCTCAGAGCAAGCGAGAAGAACCTTGGACCACTGTGGTGGGTCCCTAAACGATCGGGAGTACACCGGCAGGCTAACACAAAGGGACCGTCCAGAGCACAGGACCCGCTGAGCAAAGGGAATAACCAAAGACATGTGTACATGAATTAATGCCCCTGTGCGATCAAGAGTGTCCCTTGTGAGTTCAAGGCTCAGAGTTCTCTTACGGGTTTCCCTTGAATTGGGAGCTGTCAACATTTAGTCCAGTACATAATAAAAGAAACCATTAATTTGGTAAGCAGGGGGCACGTGTGCTCGAGGGCTACTGTATGCGCACGCCCCTGCTTTCTTCTCCCAGTTGGGGGCTGGGGCGCTATCCGCGACCGAGGAGGAAACTACACCTCTTCAGTTTGGGATAGCGATGTTTGCGACCATTTTTCTTAGATGTAATGGAGGGTGTATTTCGCCCGAGGGCGAATGCTAAACGCCATCTGAGGGGACCAACGCCGGTTGGGGGCAAAAGGTCAAATGGCATCCCAATAAGAGTGATTTTGTCGAAGTGCTCCAGAATCGTTGGCAACCGTTGGTACTACCGTTGGTACTACCGTTGGTAAACACTATTCTGCTTTCTTCGAAATCAAGGCTCCATAGAACTCTTATTCTTGCGATCCTTTGACCACGTTGGGGTCAGGGCCAGGTTGTCCCCTTTCTCCAGACTCCGACCTTAATTTCATCTCGCAGATTGCCAGCTACGAAACACCACGCCAAACACGAGAATCTCGCTCCAGAGTCAAACGGCTGGGATTACAGCGATATCGATAATCATTTTTAGACACATTTCTGTTCACAAATCTCTCCTAAGTACTGGCCATTTTCGGCGCCCCGTGACGACGCAGTTTTACCATTTGAGCTACGCCTTAGGCGTAGCTCAAATGCTGTGGCACGAACGTCCAGAGCGCGGAGCGAGGACGGTCAGAAACTAAAGCAGTGTTGGTGGGGGGGGGGGAACGGGATGCCGGTTGCGGGGTGCGGCGAGCGGGCAGCGGAGGGAAGAGCGGAGGCCCCAGGCCGAACCCACCTCTCCTGACGAGCGAGCGGTGGCGGTCGCCGGACGGCTCCAGCGGCAGCACGAGCAGCAGGATGAGGAAGGCACCGACCAGGCACAGGGCCGGACTGCGCAGCGCCAGATGCAGTCGCCGTCGCATGTAGCGGCACACGTCGTTGACGCGCAGGTCGCCGAAGGCCAGCAGGACGGCGCGTAGCTGGATGGCGGCCATGGCAGACGCGGTCGGCACCAGACTGGCGGCCCGCGCCGCGCCGCGCCGCGCCGCCGCTAGGGAAGGCCGTGACCGGCGACGCGTCGGCGCCCGCCATTGGCTGGTGCCGACGCGCTGCCGGCGGGAGAGGACAGCCGGACAGGATATCGACACCGGCAGGGCAGGGCAGCCGGACAGGACAGGACATCCAAACCGGACAGGACATGGCGGCATGACTCTTTAATTGAACGAATAGAACCACATTGGCTGCGAGTGACAAGTGACACGGCTGCTGGGGCCTTTGTGTGCTGTTGTATGGGGAACTTACAGAGAGTGTTCCACATTTTTGTGGGGTTTTGAACTGAAAGAGCCATCTCGAGGATAATTTGGCGCAGTTTACAGTGTGTCCTTCTTAACACTCCAACCCATCTAGTTTCTGAACTACACGCCGGCCAAGATGCGTATATTATTTTGTCCAGACTATTTCAAGGTCACCAAGGCATCAATGACAGCTTAATAACTTCATTTGAATCCTGTCATTGCCTTAACTGTGCGGCAATGAAGGCCAAGACAAATATGATTGTCGAGTCGTTCATATGCCAGAGCTCAGGAGTCGCCCCGTCGCGCCCACTGGTAGGCAGTCGGCGATCGGGTGCTGGCCCTGGCTGTGCCGCAACGAGATAGCGGGATGGGCCTCATGAACTACCCGCGGGCTGTGGCCCATAAGTTCATCCTTTGACAGGAAGAGTGCTGTGAGCCGGTCCGGACAGCTGCTTGCTCTCGACGTGGCCTGAACCAAGTGCCGTTCCTTCGACGTGGCCTGAACCAGTGCTGTTCTTGCTCCAGCTTGTCTGCAGTTGGACAGCTCACCATGATAAATGAATGCACGATGTGTCTCTCAGCGAGCTGAGTTTCATTTCGTTCCGTTTTTCGAGGCTTTGAACCAGATTTCAGTATCTTAAAGAAAAAGAAGGAGACTTCGTCAGTAACTTTATGGCCTGGCCTAGCTAGAAGGATCTCGGAATCATCAAATGCGATAAACTGATCCTCGACTTTAAGGGTCTTTGCGCTGCAACAAATATAGTGTTTGTAGGCTGGAAAACGTGTCGTATAGTTCAAGATACTGAAAAAAGTAGGAAGGAATGTTTTTCAAGAAATAAATTTGTGGTTTTAATTTTGACTAAGTTTTGGTATAGGCGGCAAGAATGCACTTTTTTGAAACACTCTGTAGAGTATTGCGCAATAAGCTACGCAAAACTTTTGAACAGTAGTTTCTGATAATTTTTACTGCTGGCAGATGCCTCCCCAGTGACCCAGAATGTCTACCCGCTGGTGAAATTGCGTCTCTCCAGTGGAAACAAGGCTGAAACGTATTACTCATTTTAGGACGCTAGGTAGACTTACTTCGCAAATGTTACAAACTAGTCGAGCGCGAAAGATTTTGCACGAGTAGAAAGCTGTTTTAGATGTAGCCTGCCATTACGGCAAGGACATTCACATCTCTCAAACATGTACAATGTGAATTAAGAGCGTGCAAGGTCCCCCATTCCTACCCCCTGTCCCCCCGGTGGCTGAGCTTGCCTGCCAAGAAAAGCTTCTTAAATACCCTGACCCTGCCCTTCCCCTCACTTCTTGAAACGTACATACGCCCATCACTGGGGAACAGCGAAAGAGAGAGATAAAAAGTGGGGTGGTGACCAGCAAGTTCAGCTAATGGCACACGAAAACAACACGCCGTGGGCATAACAATGACTTTTGCTGTCACTTACAAGCATGTTTAGTCCCAGGTTACCTTGTGCGGGAATCAGATTCAGCAGAGGCAGCCAAAGTCACTGTGGCAATTCCGTTGAGCAGGACAACTTTTCTTTTATTGCGCTGTGATTTTTTGCATTCGTGACTTCCCAGCGGGGTTTTGTCGCACGCCCAGCTGGCGATTTTGATCTCTAAAGCCCAGTTTACACAGGCGTTGGCGCGGGCAGGGGGCAAAGGAACACGTGCCGACTCTAACGCTCCGAAGGGCCCCCGGGGCCAATCGAAGCCTACGATTAAGGGCCTCATTTGATAGCGTGAAGGGCTCGAGAGTCCGGCCGGAACTTATATTCAGGAACACCAGCCCACAGGGTCAGTTACTCCCGTACCCAACAGAGGGCCCTGCGCACTGCTCAGGGTCCCCTAATTCGATAAGGGTCTATATGTCGGTCAGGCACCACCAGTAACGCACAGCCAGTTCCGCGGCGGCATGGGCCCGATGCTTGAGTTGCTGTCCCCATGCTTCCTATACGAAACCCTGCAATGTCAATTACATCGAAGATTTTACGGAATTACGTTCCATGTAGTAAGGAGATCCAAACTAGCTTGGCTGCTTCATGTGTAACTTTGGGCATTTCCTACGATTGAAGGTGACGGCCGTCGCCATCTTGAATCTTCGTCCGGTTGCAAAGCTTTTCCAGATGCGTTAGAGGGTCTTGCGACACGGCCATCGAGAAATTTCCTATTGCAGGGAGTCCATTTCGGTAGTTATCTTACATGCATAGGGCGGAATTTGAGGTCGAATCGATGGTCAAAGGTCGAAGAAGGTCACGAATAGCGAAAACATGTCCATGTATCGATGCAGGTCATTCGCTGTCTTCTCACTCATTGTAGAGACCTATCACAGCAGCTGCGCGTTTTATGTACCATAACTATAAGGATGTGCTACATGCACGACACATGTTCTATAGAAGACGCTTTCCCTCGATTGTGCACGTTTAGCCGAGTTTCCATCGTCATACTTCCTGTATGAGACTCTGCAATGCCAACTACCGCTGACGTTTGACGGAAATCTTCCATGCAACAAGTTTTAGGTAGCCAGGAGAGCCAAATTAACTTGTTTACCAATTGTGCATCTTTGCGCAATTCTTAGAATTTAAGATGGCGGCAGCTGCCATCTTGAATGCTGGTCCAGTTCCAAAATTTCCTCTCGACGACTGAGAGGGTCGGTTGATACCGTTTTTGAGGAATTTTCTATAGCAAGGAGTCCATTTCTGCAGTTATCTTCCAATGCGTGGAATCAATATCAAGGTTAAAGTCAATATCAAGGTCAAATCGTAAGATACTGATCAAACTTGATTATGTATTCCAAATATGTTCTCAATTGGTCGATATGTGCCGTTTTTGTCTTCTCGTACTTATTGTAAGGGCACAACCCGCAGCATTTGGGTGTGTTATGGATGATACTAATATGAATAACACAATATATACGCGACACATGCTTATAGCAAACCTTAATTTGTGCACAGGCATGTTCATTGAAGTGCTACAGCGTCTGTTCAGACACTAATCGTTGCAAAGCGACACGAGGTAAGTGGTACACAACTTTCCCAGGGAGTGATACCCTCGCTTACAAATTATGATATTGTAGCTACATGTTGAGGGGCAGAAACAATCCAAACAAGAAAATCTTTGCGGTTGCGTAGTGCGATTTCCAGACAGTTGCTGAAGTCTCGTTATAGTGATTTTGATTTCAAGTGAGACTGCTGTCTGGAAGAAGTGTAAGCCGAAGAGCAGCCAGACCGGCGCAGTTGGGCACAGGTCTAACGATGTAAAACCGTAAATAACCATAGCCCAATAACATTCGAGCAGCAGTTGGAGAGCCTGTGGGACTGCCTGGAGACAAATTGCAGAGCCTGCATGCAAATTTTGTTAACACAGTTTTACGTGAATCCATGATAATACAGCACTATGTTTTCATATTTATTAAATGAAAGACAATGTTGTAAAGCTGTAACATGGCACCTTATACCAAGCATGCGCATTAATGAGCTGCGCCAATCTGTTCCTGCTATCTAAATAAATTGCCAATATAATACATGCAATTCATTAATTACATGCTGTAATACCTCAATAGATTCAAAATGTTGGCGAGATCATAATGAAGTAGTAAATTGCCTTTGAACACCCCTGCAGCATGGGTGCTAATGTTTCTTTCAGTTTGCCGACATCACTACTTTGCATGAGCGTAGAAACAGGGGGGGGGGGGGTAGGGGGCCATGGCCCCTGTACTTTCAAAGTGGGGGGCCAGCGATGTTAACTGCCCCCTCCCACTTTTCAGATTAAGGTTGCATTTGGCTTACTTTTGCACTACATTAAACATGCATGCCGATTTACCTAGTTCGCTAGCCATTTCCCTCAAGATACGTCACCTTTTTCGTTTGCACATTGGCCATCGCTTAATGTTATAGCCTCAAGGTCGCCGCCACACGGGCTGGAGACTGCAACGCCGGGCGTCAAGGCTGTTGTTGCTATGACTTGGGAGCGCGCATGTTCAAGACCATATTACGTAGTTTTCTTATCAGTAATCAGTTCTGACAGGGTCTTGAGTATGTTAAGATGAGCATGGGCTAGCGATGGTAACACAAATTAGGAACCCAATTTCATTTGCAATCTACGGTCAGGGAGAACTCAATATCTCTGAAGAACACAGACAAACACGAAGCTGGAATCTATGTGACAGTTATTGGACTACCTGCGGTGATCAGGGATGTTGTTGCATCAATGAGGATTTATGTGCTGATCCGGGGCTAACTGTGTGAGTCAGAAGGTCTCCTGTGCCAGGGATGGGAATAATGTGATATGATATATCCTTCTAATGGCCTCCAGATCGACCAGGAGATCCCGCCCCGTGTCACCAGAATGATATCCAGAAGACACTCGTGATGGGACGGATGACCCTTTAGCCCTTGACCGGAAACTCTAATGTACCGCCGGCGTTCTACTCAAGAGGCCCCTTGTCCAAAAGGAAATAAGGGGTTTTATTATTGTTGAGTAGAGTGGGGGTCTCATTATTGTTGAATAGGGTGGGTCGAAATGAGCCCAAAGAAAACGAGCAGCGTCATGCTATGCTTGCCTGAGGACGCTCATTTTTTCCAGAATGTGTTACTGAAACAAATTACATCAAAAGACTTGAACATGCCCGCCCGAAACCTCGAGAGCAAGGACAAGGATGGTCTGGGTTGCTACTTCCGTAAAACCGAAAGTTTCCGCCACTGCAAGTACTGCCAGACGGCGGGCGTCGTGTAAATCTGTCTCCTGGATAGAT